AGTTTCCACTTAAAAACCAAATGGCCACCACTCATCTGTCAGTTTGTTGTACTATGTTGGCTTGTGCTTGTGAGTGGCTATGATTCTGAAAGCTGTGCCACCAGTATTTTACATACCAGCAGGGTCACTCATGGTGGACAGGTTTCTGATGAGCTTCCAGACAAAGACAGAGCGACTAGGAAGAAAGAGTGATGAACTACTTCTGAATCTTTAGTCACTGAAAACCTTATGAATAGCAGAGGAACAACACTGTGAGATAGAGTGCCGGAAAATGAGTCCCTCAGGTTGGAAGGCACTCAAAATGCGACTGGGGAAGAGCTGCCTCCTCAAAGTAGAGTTGACCGTGATGATGCGAATGGAGTAAAGCCGCTGGAGAAAAGCCCATGGGACCTTCATTTGCTGATGGGGCACTACTCAAAATGAAGAGAAACAGCTGTAAACATCCATTGAAAATTGGAACATGGAATATACAAAGTATGAATCTTGGAAAATTGGAAGTTGTCAAAAATGAAGTGGAACGCATAAACATTGAAGTTTTAGGCATTAGTGAGTTGAAATGGACTGGTATTGGCCATTTTGAATCTGACAACCACATTGTTTACGATGCTGGAAATGACAAATTGAAGAGGAATGGTGTTGCAGTCATCACCAAAAAGAACATATCCACATCAGTCATGAGGCACAATGCTGTCTGTGATAGATAATATCCATGCACCTACAGGGAAGACCAGTTAATACCACTATTATTCAAATTTACGCATCAACCACTAAAGCCAGCGAAGATGAAATAGAAGAATTCTACCAGCTTCTTCAATCTGAAATTGATCAAACATGCAATCAAGATTTATTGATCATTACGGGTGATTGGAATGCAGAGGTTGGGAACAAAGAGGAAGGATCAGTAGTTGGAAAATATGTCCTTGGTGATAGAAATGATGCTGGAGAACGCATGATAGAATTCTGCAAATTTGTGTATGACACTATATGAAATACTGTTTTAATGTAACACAAATTGGAGTTTACCTAGTACATCTACCAGTGTTATGGTATATAATGTACATTATTGGCAGCGTTGGTTCTTGAGCAAAGCAGACTGTTGTGTGTATTGTGTTTCTGGATTGTCATCAGTCGGTGGGGCTCTCACTTCATCCTACTCTTACCCCTCTCATACCCCCAATAGCAGCCAAGTGATCTGCCCTCCCAGAGTTCTCTGGGTACAACCTGAAATACTTATTTTTTTTTTTTTACATTTAACTGTGTCTGGCAGGCCCATTGCTCTTTTAAATTCAGTTTTATTGAGACATAGTTCACAAACACATTTAGAGTTTTCGCTTAAATGGGTTTTAATATATTCATAGAGTTGCACGCCATCACCATGATACATTTTTATCAGCCCCTAAGAAACTGCTCCCCTTAGCAATCACCGAAGCTAGCCCCCCTTTCCCTCCAGCCCTAGTTTCTGGACATTTCATATCAATGTCACCAAACAATAGGTAGTTTTTGGGTTGGGCTTCTTTTACTTAGCATGTTTTCAAGGGTCATACATGTCATAGCGTGTATCAGTGATATCACTTAGTCTTTGTTGTTGTTGTTAAGTCCCATCACGTCGGTTCCAATTTACAGCAATGCTGTGTAGCGTTTCCAAGGAGCGGCTGGTGAACTTGAGCTGCCGACCTTGCAGTTCAAACTGACTCTGCAGTACAGTGCATTCACCCACAGTGCCACACCAGGACTCTGATATAACTTAGTTGTTTTTTTTTTTAATGTTTTATTGTGAATTATGTGATAGTTTACATTCATTCTGTCGTATATCGTCTCATTGCCAGGGTTACAATCCCCTCCATGCATCATCAACCAACCAAAGGGTATACCCTGCAAGCCTGCCCCCTACACACCCCCGGTATTTGGCACACAGTCCCTCTCCCTCTCTGGATCTAAAGTCCCCAGCTGCTCCATCGCTCCATGTCATCATCTCTGCCTCCATCTCAGGCATCACTACTTCTCTGGGTAGGGTCCCGCACTCCGCTCTTCTCTGTTAATGGTCCTAGGGACCTCCGCTCCTAGACTGAAAAGTTAATCACTTCCCTCCTTGCTATAAAACGTCTACCTTTGCATTACCAACTCTCACAATCAGTCCTGATAACAATTATTCACTGTTGTATCACAAGAGACCCATCTGCATTTCATTTCATCAGCCCCGCCTAGATAGATTGGATACTACTCACTGTAGATTCTACCTTCCTGCAG